AGATGACATTTGAACAGAGACTTGATGAAGTGAGAGAGTGTTACATGAAGGAAGATTGTTTTTGTGTATTTAGTGTCTGTTTTATCTGCGAGAAGTCTTGCAAAGGAGAAACAATTATTCCAATTTTTATGGGTGAGAAAATATGTCTGGCTCCCAAACTTGCCTTGTTGCTGTTTACTGTCTTTGAAAATCTTTAATCATAGATAAATCTTTAATGCTTTTGTGTTGGAGTTTTTGCTTAACTATGGAAAACTGATATCCAAGATCATTTTTAGCTTATCATCCATTGGTTTCTGTATCTCAATCCATCTTCTATTTCCCCATGCAACCATTTAGAAAAATATTTGGGTAGCAAACATTCAGATGATATTTAAATTTCTTGAATCTCAATTTCTTCATCATAAAAAATATGGTTAATGGGCACTGGGCTGTTTCCATAAAATAATTTAAGGAAAAAAATATGACTAATAGTATCTACCTCATATGGTCATTCTGAAGATTAGACTGTAATAAAATACTTAGCAAGTGCTAGCTTTGTGGGGAATCCTCAACCCTAAATATACTATAAAATTTCTGTGCAACTTTGGGTAAGTCACTTATCCCTGACTCAATGCCTGGTTTATAACAGACATTTAATAAATGATTATAGGGTAAATACTTCAATTAGTGAATAAATGTCTTAACATTTGTGGCCTTCTATTTTCACTATGTAGAGAGAAGGAGTTAGATTCAAAAAATGATAATGACAGAACATTTACAATATGTGACATGTAAACTTTTCCCATGTGTGGTCCATGTTAGTCAGTGCAAGTATCATGTGGGTTTTACCCATCTAGTTCCTTATCTTTCCAATGAGGAATTTGAGGCTCAGATGGAAGAGGACCTGCCAAAGATTATAGAGCAAGTCCCAGTGCCATTATTCTTCATCTTAATTATGAGCAAGAATTATTACCTCTTATTAGGATTTAATTTGAGCAATAGTGTTGACTATCTAGGTTGCTATTATGCAGCTCTGTTGTGGCAAATCATATTGTGAATTAAAAAAATTAAAGATGAGGACTTTGGTGGCTTAATGGCAAAAGATCTGGCATCCAAAAAGGGGAAAAAAATCTATGCCCATACAGGAGAGGGAGAAGAGAGAGGAAGATTGGAATGCACTGGGGAAGAAACAAAACCTTTCTCCAGATAGCAGAGTATGCCAAGCAGAAGCCTGGTTTGTAAATTGAAAGGCATCCTGAACTAAGCCTTAACCACTTACATATGTCTAGTCTTTCAGTTTTACACAGCTCCTTCCTCTGTGTGACCATATTTGGACCCAAGTGCAGTAAGTTTTAGAGGCAGGCTAATGAGTTTGATCTGACTGAAGAGGGCCTCAAAAGCAACCAGGTAAGCATACAGGTCTAGCATCATGGAAGCTTGGTGATTCCAGACCTCTACTTATAGCTCAATATATTTAAGTTGGACAGAACACAAGCCCTGCCTGGTAAGCTTGCTACATGGCTAGTAGCACTTACCAAGAGGCCTATGCTTAGGTCCAAAGGACCAAGGCCACACTTTCCTGGTTTTCTTGAGGTGATAATAAAGGTAGAATAAGAAATGGTGCCGATTATTAAGTCAAGTCTAGCTGATGGAGAGAGGAGAAGTAAATCATGAGGTTTGAAATGAATCATGAGATTAGAAGCCTGGAGGATCTCTAAAAAATTAAGATTTAGAAGTGGGTCAAGGAAAGTGGTTCCAGGACAACTCATAAAGAAAAGAAATGACAGTGTCGGAGTGCCACTTTTCAACACTGACAAATGTAGTAACTTATCAAATATTGATAATAAAGCTATGAAGCAAAATATATCTTTTCCTTCACGGAGTTTGTAGTTAAGACAAACATAAACATTAAGACAAACAACAACGGGTTGCCACATCAATTTTTGTTAAAAGGACCATCATGTTGCACATATAATGCCCACATTATTTATTAGAAATGTTTCTATTGATCAATTACTAATTTTAATTTTGAGTTTTATTATATTAAACAATGTGTACTTAACAAAAGATCAATAAAGTTGAGTGTTTAATTCTTGAGTGTTTATAGTAAGCATTAAAATTTTCAATATCAAATGTTTTGTTTAAATTATCACACCTAAGGCAGTTTCACACATGAAAACAGCATATTCCATACACATGTATCACTTACACTGATAGCACGTGTGCTTTGCTTTCCTATCTTTTTTGGTAGGACATGCATGTTATACTTTTTTATGAATTTATTCTGGAACTCAGCCACCAGGTCCTTATTCATGCAGTAATAAATTCAATAATGTTGTAAACAGACTTTCTCCTATCTCCCAAAATAATTGGAATGTGACATTTGACAATTGGTTTACCAGTTACCAAATGATATTACATTTGCTAATGGAGCACAACTTGACCAGCATAGGAAATATTCATAAGAACAAAGCAGAAATGCCCAATGAAATGTCACAAGTTCAAAATAGAGAATTGTATAGTACAATCTTTGGATTTCAGACACATATAACATTGGCCTCATATATGGCAAAGAAAGCAAAGTGGTACTGCTGATGTCAACATTGCATCACAATGGCAGGATTGACAGAAAATTTTGTCAAGACAAAATTGAAGCCTGAGATGGTAACTTTTTCCAACAAAACTGAAGGCAGAATAAATGCTGATGAATTATGCAGCAACTACGATGTCACTTGAAACACAAAGCATTGGCCAATGGTCATCTTTTACTCTATCCTAAACATGTGTGGCATGAATAATTTCATAGTTTACAAAGAAAGCAACAAGTCCAAAATTTCACAAGAGATTTTTTTTGACTGGACTTATACAAGATAAATTACAATAGAGAAAGAACAAAATATTTCTGCCCAAGGAACTGTGCAAAAACGTTCTGCAGCACACTGGTGATCTGACAGGTGAAAAAGCAGGTGCAACATCACAAAGACCTACTACAACAATAGGAAAACCAAAAAGATGTCAACTGTGCCCTACAAAAAAGGGCAGGAAACAAGATCTACATGCTATCAGTGTAAGTGATACTTGTGTATGGAACATGCAGTTTTCATGTGTGAAGACTGCCTTGGGTGAGACAATTGAAGCAAAGATTATTTCTGTAGTGGACTTGTGTTTATATTTTCACTGTAGTTCACATAGGAATTTATTTCTTTTTTTTTAAACTTAAATTCTTTTATTGGTACATTGTAGGTATACAACACATTTACATTTCTCATTGGGAACTTGTACCTTTATATGATGCATCTTGGTTCTTATTTTTTTCCCCCTTCCTAGCCCTCCCTTCATCCCCTCCACCCTTCCCTATTTACAAAGACTTTATTTCCATTTCTATCATTTTTCCTTTCCCTTCTTTCCTTTCCCCTGCCCCTCCCACTACCCCTACCCCTTTGGACCTTTTCCTATTTTGCATTATCGATTATTCATCCTACATAGAAATTTATTTCTGATGTTGTCTTTTAGGTTTTTGTAAGCAAGAAGACACCAGATATAAAAAGACTGAGGCATGCCAGTCACAGGCAGAACAGGGATGAAAGCTTGTCTATCCTAAGTGCCTTTCCAGGGCTCTTTTCATTCAAACCTTTTGTCTGGCAACTTTGGTCTTCCAGAACCCTGACTAACTTCAAGAGAATAAAACCAGGTTCCTATCTCCAGGTAGCAAAGCAGTTCAGCACCAGATACTGAGGGCTGCCCAATAAAGATTTGAAATCATCCCTGTTCATACAAAGTGTTCACACAACTTATTTCTCAGTCTTGAAGGAATGTTGCTCTTCCTGCTCTTCCTTGCCATATTCTTCTGCATGTATTATTTCAACTTTGAGTAGCATATTTTGACAGGACTAAAACCTCCCTCTTTGAAAATCTACATTTGGGGACGGGTACTGGGGATTGAACTCAGGACCTTGCACTTGTGAGGCAGGAGGCAGCACCGCTGAGCTAAATCCTTGGCCTGAAAAATCTACATTTTGATAGCCTTTTGCTATTTGGTTTCTAAAGGTGCCCAAATTATCTGTCCTCGTTCATTTAACCACAGGAGATCATTATCCAGTGATAAATTCTATTCCATTATCATTATTTTATAATGAGAAAGTCTCCTAGGATGAGAGAAGGGCAGAGATGGCGTTATAATGCATGAGTGGAGGCCTCAAATGCTATAGACCCCAGAAAACAACTCTGCAGTTTCCATAGGTCCCCAGTGGATTATACTTCTTAGTTTATTGATTATTGATCCACTGAATGGAAACTATGTGTGTGTGTCTGTTTGAATTTTAAAATACATTTAATATTTTGTTATTGATGTACAGCATCCATTTCTTCTTCTGGTAGTAGCACCAAGATCTTGCCTAAGGCATCGTTTCACAATGTGTGGTTTGAGAGAGTCATTCACCCTTGGAATCAGGAGTAGAACATATGATTTCCTGATGCATTAGTCCATCAACATATTCTGTCCTCTCAGACTGTAGAATCATTCTGCAGTTGCATATTTATATCAAGTGAAATTTGTTGGATAGCTATTTCTAGCCAAGATGATCCTTTTGTAAACACTATTGGATTTTTGTCTCCTGAATTTATCCTTTTTATTGACCTTATAAAATCTTCAGTCTTAAATTCAAAGCCAAAGGAACAAAAAAAGAAAAGTTCCAAATTACTTTAGTTAAAGCCATTATTCACTGTGTTTTAAGTGCAAAGGCCTGTGATATGCACTAAAACTACAGAAAAGAACAAGACATAGTTTCTTGGGTAAATCTTATGCCCACAAGACCCTAGCAATAAATTAGGAGCTGGGGAAAGTTGTAGTCCCACCTTGAACATTTTCAGGATTCAGGTGAGAGAAGAAATGGCCACAGCACAAGTTTAAATATATGTTATAAACCTAGTTAAGGAACTGTTATAATACAATATACCTACACTCTTACCTTGCTAAATATGCTTAAATATATCATACAATGACAAAATATGAAGATACTTACATAAAGCTATAATTTTCACTTGACTAGAAGTTGGCAAAATATCAAATAGGTTCAAATTTAATTCTTGTCATGCTTGTCTTGATATTTTCTTGGTAGAGAGATGAGCAAAAAAGATTTGTATTAGTCGGTCTTGGGGCCCAGGCCAGGTTCCCTCTCTGGTCAATTATCTAAGAGTAGAATTGAAAGGTTAGATTCATTGGTAACTAAGACTATATAGATCTCTCAAAAAGAAAAAAAAAATCATATTTAAAAAGGAGATTGGGAGATCTCTTGGGAGATTTTTACATATCCACAAATGCATACATATAAATGTGCAATTGCAGAATCATTGGTAAAAGGTTATATGGTCAAATGCAGAATCATTAAATGCCAGATGTAACAGACCATAATGAAGTTAAAAGTAAGCTGGACTTTAAGATGCATATTGAATTGCGGATGCTAAGAACATAATGCAGTGATAATAAAATATTCAAGCATTAAAATCAACTCAGTATTGGGACTGCATGTTCTAAATCTACATGAAAACATTAAATATGTGCCCAGAACTATATCATTCTTCTAATTCAAATACCATTAATGTTGAAGAGTTGAAATGCAAACAGTTAAGGTTACTTTTACAATGCTATTCACTTCCTCCAGATTTGTAGCTAGCCTGGATTCCAGAGACTGTACTGAATCACTCCTAGGTTCTCCTTTTGGCTTCTGACTTATTCTAGAAAGATGTAAATAGTAACTCTTCCAGACCTCTTGAGATTTTCTAGGCAGACCAACCCCCATATTTTAGGCAAGCACTCTGATAGGTCTCTGAAAATCTCAATGGTTTAGCAGAAGAATTCTCAATTTAGAATCAGATGACATGAGTTTGAGAAGTGCTTCAGCTACTTATGGGTTGAAAAGTCTTTAAAAATTTATGAAGCCTGAATTTATTCTTCTGTAAAATGGAAAATTTGAAAATTCACTTTGTTTTGTATCTGGTGTACTCTATAAATATGTCTAATATAATAACTCATTTTATACTGTCTATATAAACTTCTGTTTGATTTCTGTGATATGTGTGGTAGCAAATTTTTTTAAATACAGAAAGATATTATATCAGAAAGAAGTATCTCTCTTAACACCATCCCAAAGGTAACTACTATTGATACGGAAAAGTTTTAGATAATTTAATAGATTGAATATTAAGGTAGTTGCAGAAGCAAAATAAGTAATGTGTTCTTTTAAGATTTGCTTTTCCTGTAACTCCTTGTTTAAGGTGAGGATTATCTAACTCTAACTTCATTAACCTAACAGTTAACATGCCAGGGTGAATTTACAATGTATATGGCCTGTCTTGTGTCTGTGACTTGTAAATAGGAACTGGCATTGCATTTACATATCAAAGACCACTAGGGATGAGATAATGGCTAAAAAGGATATAAAAAGGGAAACGCTGAACAAAGGGGGTGCAGAGATTGACCAGACTGGTTCCTGGCATTCCTGTCCACTCGTGAGAAGAAATTTTATTATCTTATCCAAATTCTGTGTCTCTGTGTATTTCTTTCCGAGATTTCTGCAACACTATTAATATGGTGGACATTTCCCTAATTTCATTTCATATATGTATACATATATAGATATAGTTATGGTTCAGATCTACAACATCCCCCCAAAGTCTCCTGTATTCAGAGGTGGAGTTTTTGAAAGGTAATTAGATTGTGGAATTCCATACTCAGCAATGGATTTATCCATTGATGAATTCATAGCTAAATGTGCTATTAGGAGGTGGGACCTCATTGGAAGATGTGCCTCTCCCTGGGGGCATGCCTTTGGTGAGTATATTTCTCTCCATGGCTCCTCCCTTCTCTCTCAGTTTCCTGTTGCCATGAAGTAAGGATCTTTCTCCTACCATGCCCTTCTACAATGATGTTCCTGCTTTAGAGCCAGCCTACTGTGGACTGAACCCTTTGAGACTGTGAGCAAAAATCAGCCATTTCTTCTTTAAGCAGTGCATGTTGAGTATTTGGTCCCAGTGACAAAAAAGCTGATTAATATAAAAGTTATTGGGATCATTGCTGTGACTATAACTGACTGTGTTGTTTTAGTGGAGGAGTGTGAAAAGGTCTGTACATATGGGCCTTAGAATGCAGTAATAGAACCTGATGGGTAATTCTAGTTAGAACTGAGAAGACCAGAATGGTGATAGAAATGTAGACAGTAAAGTCCAAGCCCAGGAGGTTTCAGATAGACACAAGGACTATATTGGCATTTGGACTAGAAGTCCTGTGTGTTACACTTTGGCAGAAAATGTGTTTACATTTTCTCAAGTCCTGAGATTTTGCAGTAGAGTGAGATAAAGGGTGGTAGACTAATTAACAGAGGAAATTTCAAGACAGCCCAACATTCAGGTTGTGGCATGGGTACTGCTGGCTACTTTTAGCCAGATTTGTAATGAGAATCAGGGCAGATCACAAAGCAGAAATTTTTTTAAAAACATAAATTTTGTCCAAAAGCAACTGCGTGTAAAGGAGAAAAAGTGTACCAGTGTAGTTGTGGAAGAGTTTAGCAACATTAAAAAGAACCCAAGTACTTTGCATCAAGACATTAGGAAAGATACCTTGAGGACATCTGAGGAAATATCCAGAGCTCCACAAACTCAATGGCCACAAGCTCAATGGTGGAAAAGGGTAAACTGCTTTGAAAGGAGAGCCCCAACAGTGTCCTTCTTATTCAGGACTACCTAGAGAAGTGTTTTCCCTGAGTTCAGCTATCCGGACACTCCAAAACCTCTGAAGTCATGGCCCAAGGAGGCCAGGCTACTGTTCAAACTGACAACAAACCTTTGGATCATACACATGATGCTGGTTTTACGGGCCTAAAGAATGTAAGACTTGTGGGGTTATGTAGACTTCCACCCAGATTTCAAAGGAAGGCCTCAAGGTACCCCTGAGAGAGTGAAGCATGAAGCTCCGAAAGTGAAACATAGATTCAGTGAGTGAAGAGCCCAGGAAGTTGGAGGTGTCGAGGACATCAGTTGTCTGCTGAAGAAAGCTATAGGAAAATGAGCAAGATCAGCCCAAGAAAGAGGTCATGTGAGCTACAACCAGCAAGGGGCAAGGTTGCCCAAGCCTTTTTGATTTTCAGCTACCACAACTTGCCCCAGGTGCTGGACATGGAGCTATAGGTTTTTACTATTTGCTCTGCTGATTTTCAGTCTTGCTTTTGTCCAATTCCTTTCTATCTCCCTACTTTTCCCTTCTGGAATAGGAATGTTTACCTCATGCCGTGGTATGTTGTAAGTGCTTATCTCCTTTTTGACTTTTACAGGGGCTTACATACAGCTAAGAGTTTGCCTTGAATCTCAGAGGGAAATTTTGACTTGGACTCTTCAGCACTTTTGAAACTGTTAAGACGTTAGCAACTGTTAGTGATAGACTAAACACATTTTACATAATAAGATGGACATGAGCCTTTTAGGGTGCAGGAGTGAAGTGTTATGGTTTAGATTTAGAATGTCCCTCAAAAGCCTCATGTGTTCAGAGCTGGGTCTTTTCAAAGGTGATTGGGTCATGGGGGTGCTTATTTTGAGTAACAGAACAATGAATGGTCAAATTATTTTGTAAAAATAGAGATGCTCACTTTTCCTCAGTTGTGAGTAGCCATTGAGTCTTTTTTTTTTTATTCATTAAATTTGTTGGTACACTTTAGGTATACATTATGGTGCAATGAAATCTTATTCAAGTGTCTCAGATCCAGTGCCAAGTACAGTGTTTGTCATAAAATGAGGCCTCTGATATGAATGTTGAATAAATTGGTGGATTAGAAAGTGAATGCCAGTGCATTTCATGTCATTGTACTTTCAAAGAGGAGTGTGGGAAAGGCTGTTCTCCAGTCAGGCCAGACAGAGATGGAATGGTGATAAGACTCCCACCAATTCAACTAGTTAGCATCTTCTTGTCATTTTCACCCCAACTTTTCTGTTAGATGAATTTCTTCTCTGAAATTCAAGGGCCAGTGAGAATTTTTTGAAATGCAGTTACCAAAGCCATTATAGCTTTGGTAACATTTTGCCTTCCGTGGCCTGCCTCACTGTGAGAAAGGTCTTAATAAATAGATTGTTAATGATCTAATTAAAAGAAACATACTGTATTAGGGCACTAGCAATGATAGAGGCCTGAGCTGAAAGCTTAGATTCATCAGAGGACAGTAGCTAATCGCACAGACATTGAAGAAGTCTTCCTTAATTTGGGTGGGCTGTGCCCCTTGAAGAGCTTCTCTGAACATATTAATCTTATAAATAATAACAATAGTCCATATTTTGATTTTTTAGAATGTACTAATTAAATGTTCCACATGTATTATGTTATTAGATGCTAACAACTACCTACAATAAAGAAAGAGAATAATACATTTACTTAATTGGAAAGTAACATTATAATTATTTTAAAAAGAAATTGAGTCTCTGCAAGGTTAAATACAGTTGAGTATAACAATTCAGAGAGTTGAATTCCATCATGTTCAATGGCTGTGTGGGTGTGGGGCTATAGAAATCTGAGTTTGAAGCTTGGTTCTACCACCACATACATACAAATTGTGACTATGGGAAAGTTATTTAACCTCCTGGGGCTCCATCTATGCACCTATAAAATAGAAATAATAATAGAACCTAACTCATAAGGTTATGGTGAGGATTAAAAGGTACATATCACCTAGGCGGTACATGCTACATAGCAAGAGCTCAAACTATTAGTCTCCCCTTGCCCATGATGGGGCAATCAAGACCCCTAGTGGATGCCTGAAGTATCAAATCCTAACAATAGTATGTTCTTTTCTATACGTAATACTTATGATAAAGTTTAATTTGAAAATCAGACACAGTATCATAAAAAGTAACTAATAAATACAACAATTATAACAATATACTGTAATAAAACCAGAAGCATCACTACTCTTATGTTTTAGGGCCATCATTAAGTAAAATATGGAAAAACATAAACACCTGCACTATGATATGGCAACTGTTGATCTGATAACAGAAACAGCAACTAAGTGACTAATGGGTGGGTAATGTATACAGTATGGATACACTGGACAAAGGAATGATTTACATCCTTGGTAAAATGGGACTGATTTAAAACAATAATTTTTTTCAGAAATTTTTCACTTAACACAATTGACCATGAGT